TCATCATACAATCCAGCAATCATACTCCTTGGCATTTATCCAAATGAGCTGAAAACTTATGACTACAAAAAAATCTACACATGGAGGTTTATATAGTAACTTTAGCCATAACTGCCAAAACTTGGAGGCAACCAAGATGTCCTTCAGTAGGGGAATGGGTAAACTGAAGTACATGCGGACAATGAACTATCATCCAGCGCTAAAGAGAAATAAGCCATCAAGCCATGAAAAGATATGGAGGAATCTTGAATGCATATTACTAAGTTAAAGAAATCAATCTGAAAAGGCTATATACTGTATGATTCCAACTATACAAGATTCTGGAAAAGGTAAAACTATGGAGGCAATAAAAAGATCAGTGGTTATAGGGGCTGGTGGGAGGGAAGGATGAACAGGCAGAGCGTAGAGGGGTTTTAAGACAATGAAACTATCCCATATAATACTATAATGGGGGATCTTTGTCTTTACGTATTTGTCAAAACCCATAGGATGTACAATAGTGAGAGTGAACTCTAATATAAACTATGGACTCTGGGTGATAATGTGTCAGCTTAGGCTCATGGATTATAACAAAGTGGGAAAGGTTATGTATGAGTAGGAACAGGTTATGTAGGAACTCTGTACTTCCCACTCTGTTTGCTGTGAACCTAAACTGCTTAAAAAAATTAAGTCCATCTTAAAAAAGGGCAAAGTATTTAAATAACATTTTTACAAAGAAGATACAAATGGCCCATAAGTATATGAAAAGATGCTGAACATTACTAATTATTAGGGAAATGCAAAGCAAAACCACAATGAGATATCACCTCATACCCATGTGGATGGCTACCTTCAGAGAAACAGGGAAAAGAACAAGTGTCAGTGAGAATGTAGAGAAACTGCAACACTCACGCAATGTTGGTTAGAATAGAAAATGGTGTTGTCGCGATGTAAAACAGTATTGTGATTCCCTAAAATGCTAAAAATACAATTACCATACTGTGAGATGATATAAAAATATATATTTTGGTTTCTGCCCCAGCTTCCTGGCATGGAGTTCTTGGAACCCTTGTAACTTCCTAACTGATAAGAGCACTAGGAGCATCTTTTGTTCTAACATTTGGTCTTTCACCACAGTTGCTGACACAGTGTTCCTGAAACCCTTATAATTTTCTGTGTAATAGGTGTGTCTTTTGTTCTACTGAGGTGATCCCACATGAGCTCTTGGATGAGGGCTGGTCACCAGAAAGAACAAGCCATAAGCAAGTGCAGAATTTTCAGCCCTGCCGAAGTGGGGAGAAGGGCAAAGGTTGAATATGGAGCTAATAATTGATATCCCTAAGTGAGGAAGCCTCCATAAAACATGACGAGTATGGGGTTTGGAGAGCTTCCAGGTTGGTGAACGCATCCACATGCTGGAAGGGTGACACAACTCAACTCTGTGGGGACAGAAGCACCTGTGCCTCCCACTGTATCTCTCTTCATCTGGCTGTTTACCTGTATCTTTTAATAAACTGGTAAATATAAATGTTTCCTTGAGTTCTGTGAGCTGCTCTGGTAAATTCATCAAAACCAAAAAGGGAGTCATGGGAACCTTCAATGTATAGCCAAGTCTGACAAGTTATGGGTAACCTGGGGACCTATTACTTGCAACCAGCATCTGAAGTGGGGTGAGAGCAGTCTTAAATGGGACTGAGACCTTAACCTGGGGGATCTGATACTATCCACTCAGAGAGAGCATCAGAATTGAGTTCAGACTCATGTCTCATGAGTCTCATGAACTCATGTGTCATGAGTTTATGACACAGAGCGGGTGTCATGGAGAAACTGCCTGATTATGAGGGGGGGACACACTTTTGGTGACCACAAGTATCAAAACTGAAGTGTTCTGTGTGGGTAATAAAGGAGAAACACAGGAGGAAGAACTGGTTCTTTCCCTACTCGGGTGGGAAAAAAAATGGGTTTTTCACTAAAACACATATGATCCAGCAATTCCACTTCTGGGTATACAGACAAAACAACTGAAAGCAGGATCCCAAGTGGGTATTGTGCACACATGTTTATAGCAGTGATTTGTAGTGAGGTGGAAGCTATCCAGGTGTCTACAAGTGGCTAAACAGAAAAACAAAATGTGATTTTGTCACACAATAGAAAATTATTCAGCTTTAAAAAGCAAAGTGTGACACATGCTACAAAATGGATACACCCTGGGACATCTGGGTGGCTCAGCTGTTAAGTGTTGGACTCTTTTGAGTTTGGCCTTGGTCAGTTCTCAAGAGTTGTGAAATCCAGCCCCAAGATGGGCTCTGCCAGGGGCATGCAGCCTGCTTAATATTCTCTCCCTCTCCCTCTGCCCCTCCCCACCTCCCTCTCTTAAAAAAAAAAAAATGGATACAACCTAAAAACATGCTAACTGAAATAAACCAGTCACAAAAAGATGCACACTGTATGGTTCCACTTATATGAGGTATCTAGTGGAGCCAAATTCATAAAGCAGAGTGTAGAATGATCATTGCCAGGCACTGGGAGAGGGGAAAACAGCGAGTTCTTTGATGACACTGAATTTCAGTTTTACAAGATTAAAAAGTCCTGGAGACTGGTTATACAACAAGGTGAATACCTACTGAACTGTACATTTAAATATGGTTAAGAACGTACATTTTTAATGAAATGTGTTTCACCACAATTAAAAGTTTAATTGAAAAAAACTATGCTCATTTGCCAAAATCATTCCAAAATTCAATTCCAGAAATATCATAGATGTCAGGGATCAAGATTCTTAGCGCATCAGATCGTCCTAATTCTTTTTCCAGAATAAGTTCCAGCCACGGGGACAGAATGAAAATATAGGACAACCTCTGTAATCAACTGGCTGAACTAGAACGGACAATGAACTCCACTTACGTGAAACTAAGCATTTTATATTTTTTAAGCATTTTAAATTCAGCAAATACTGTATAATAACTTAAAACTAATACTGCATTTTGATTGGCCTCTAAAGCTTCCATTTCCAGCAACTGCCTCAATTAAATCTCAAACTTATGTTGAGTTCCAGGTCTTGCAGACACTAAATAGTGAAGAAGAACAGAGATGGTCCCTGTCCCCACACATCCTACAACCCAGCAAAGGACACACCCGAGTATACAGAAACCTGAAACGCGATCACACCCCTAAACCAAAAACATGTAAGCAAATAACTGCATTCAGGTGCACGTCACAATAACCACCTAATATTTTCACCTTAAAAAGCAACCCTGAATTTCTTTTAATATCAAGATGCCAAATAAAGGCTGCCGAGGTTTTCATGTCCCTTTGTACGGGGAGGAAGGCAGGATTAAAGCGGGATGGGCTTCAGCTCCAGTTCCCGAAGGGAGCCCGCAACTACCCGACCACCGCGCCTCCTCGGGGCCGCGCCCTCCCTGGGAGCGCTTCCTCCCGACTCCGGGGGAGGGCGCTCTTCCGCGGAGTCCCGGGCGCGGGGCGGGGAGCCACAAGCCAGGCTTTCCTCTGAACCCCAAGGGAGCCGCGCTCAGCCAGCGAGCCCGGCCCCGGGAGGAGCTGCCGGCGGAAGCCTAAAGCCACCCCTAGAGGCCGAAAGCGCAGCAGGCTCGGCGCGGAGCCGCCCGCAGGGACCGGGGTGGGGGAAGGGGAGGGGGGAGGGGAACGGGAAGGGACGAGGCGGGAGGGAGGACGTACCCATTCGGATGTGCACACTGGCCGAGGCCACGCAGCTGCCATAGTTGAAATCATCCTCGATGGAGGAACAGGGGTAGCGGGGGTCGGGGTCGGCCATGTCGGCAGCAGCACCCCAGCGACCCCGCCGAGCTAGGGAAACGACGCGGACTCAACGGCCTTCAAGCCACTTCCGGGATGAAGCGCTCCAGCCCCAACTAGCCGAGCGCACCCCGCGCTCATCGATGCGCTCACCCGCGGCGCTGCGGTAAGGCTGAGAGGAAGGAGGTTGCTTCAGCTTGGGGCGGGAGAGAAAAAATGAATTACGTTCTTGGCGTCATCTAAAATGCAGCTTTTCTCAGATTTTCCCTCGACAAGCTTTTTTTAAATCCTCTGACCTGGAGAGTTGCTGAAAGTTATAGAAGCGAGGTCCCATCCATCTGTTCTCTCAACAAATACTCAGCTCATTCACTTGGTCCTTCAATAATCACACGGGAGATACACTTATTATTTTTAGTATTAATAATATTCCCTAAATTTCTTGAGCACTTCCTATTAGCCAGGCTTTCCGAATGAGCACAAGAAGACAAGGGCCAACCAGAGAAGACTGAAGTGATGCGGATAGGTTCAGATGAGGGGCGAAGCTTAGGGTAAGATACGGGTGACAAAGAATGAGACTGGATAGTAAAGGAAGGGATGGGAGGGCACAGACAGTGCGAAGGACTGTTTTACCAATCTCTCCTTACCAATCGGTACTTACTATGAATGCAAAAATAAGGCGGTGGTGTTCTAAGAAGCGTGAATGTCCAAGCAATCCTAGCATATCCTTTTTTACTTGTGTCCCTTCCCAATATTAGCCAATTACTAATACTAAAATGAAGCTATTGAAGGAAAGGAAAAGAGGGCCAACCATAATTTCTTTTCCTGTACATCCTTGCTAGTAAGCTGAAGGTAAAGAGTGTTAGTAGAATGTGTACATCTCAAGAAGTATGATAAAAATATTTTGAGTTTGTATATAGCTGTTCCACAGTTCTAGTAAGAATGAAATGCTTATGTATATACAGGCTAGGAAATACAAACTGTAATTTTGGTGATCCTTATGAGCTTGCCTTTAAAACTGGTATTATACCATATAAGGATCAATGATAAAATTAGTGCTAATAATTTTTTAAAGATTTTATTTACGAATTTGACAGAGAGACACACAGCGAGAGACGGAATACAAGCAAGGGGAGTGGGAGAGGGAGACGCAGGCTTCCTGCTGAGCAGGGTCCCCGCCCCCCCCCCATTGTGGGGCTTGATCCCAGGACCCTGGGATCATGACCTGAGCCAAAGGCAGACGCTTAACGACTGAGCCACCCAGGCACCCTGTGCTAATAATTTTAAATGACATTTTTCCTTCACTTAAGCGACATTAAGTAGCAAGTTAAAAAAAATCATGGTAAATGAGGAGACTGCAAAAGAAATGAGAGCTTTGGGAAGATTATAAATGGCTTCACAGTGTTTTAGTTTGCTAGGACTGCTGTAATAAATTAGCACAAACTGGTGGCTTAAGACAACAGAAATGTCTTCATTTACAGTTCTGGAGGGCACAAGTCTGAAATGAAGTTGTCAGCGGGGTTAGTTCCTTATGGAGGTTCTCACAGATAATCTGTCCCATGCCTCTCTTCTGGTGTTGGCAGTCCTTGGATTTCCTTGGCTTGTGGTTGCATCACTCCAATGTCTGCCATCATCTTCACCAGGCCTTCTTTCTTCTGTGTTTCTGTGTCCAAATTACCCTCTTCTTATAAGGACACCAGTCCTATTCCAGTGTGGCCTCATCTTAACTCGATTACATCTGCAGAGATTTTACAGGCATACCTCATATTATTGTACTTCAGTTTTTTGCACTTTGAAGATACCGTGTTTTTTACAAATGGAAGGTTTATGGCAACCCTGCATTGAGTAAGTCTATTGGCATCATTTTTCCAATAGCATTTGCTCACTTCTCATGTATCTGTCACATTTGGGTAATTTTCATAATATTTCAAACTTTTTCACTATTATAATGTTTTTTATGGTGATCTGCACAGTGAGTACTACCCTGTGAAAGCTCATATGATGGTTAGCATTTTTTAGCAATATTTTTAAATTAAGAGATATACTTTTTCTCTAGAAATGATGCTATTGAACACTTAATACACTACAGTAGAGGGTAATACAGTATAGTGTAATATAGTATAAACTTTTATATGCTTTGGAGACCAAAAATTTATTTGACTCACTTTATTACAGTATTTGCTTTATTGCACTGGTCTGGAATTGAATGTGCAATATGTTCCATGTATGCCTATATTTCCAATTGAGGTCACGGTCAAAAGGCATCAGTGGTTAAGCCCTAAATGTATATCATGGGAGCCCACAAGTCAACCTATATCACAGAGGTGGTGACTTTTCAATAGGATCTTGAAAGATAATTAGGGGCTCATTAGGTAGGAGATGCTGAAAAAACCCAAACATGAAACAACTAGTTCAAATTGGAAAAGACCCAGACACTCATGAAAGACTTTACAGAAGAATAACATTTGGTGATTAATTGTATATAAGCATCAGCAAGCATAATGTCTGACATAGCAGGTGCTCAGTAAATCCTAACTATATCAATCGATCAATCAGTTGAACAAAAGTACGGAGTTCTTTTGGCTCCTGCGACCAGACAAAAAGAAGCTGATTTTCTAGGAAATGATCAGATTGGGGCATGCTGAATTGAGATGAAAGAAAGAAATCAAAATGCAATTGTGCAGTAAACATTGGAGGCAGGAGTGAGAAGGAACCTACAGGGCAGGTTAGGGCTAAGGACACATATACAAGAGTGGCCCACATAGAGATAATAGATGAAGAGTGAGATTAAAAAAAATAATAAATTAAAAAAATAAATAAATAAATTTAAAAAAAAAGAGTGAGATTATATGAAATCTTCCAAGACCTGGAATAAAAAGATCAATAGAATTCAGCCTATGGGTGCACAGTACAAGCCAAAGGAAGAGTTAGTTGGAAAAACAGAAGAAACAATCCATAACGTAGGTGGAAAACACTGAGTATTGTCTGAAGAGACCAAAAAAAAAAAAAAAAAAAAGACCAAAATTCACAAAAGATGGTGTGATGAGGGACTAATGCTGTGAAACTGTCAGAATAAGCCCTGAAGAAAGACCATTTGATCAGAAGTTACTAATATTTTTAGATCCAAATATGCTGGATACTTCCATATACAGACGTATTACTTTCATTATCAAGGCACCAGATTGGATATCCAAGCTTTTGTTTTTCTTTCAAAAAAACAAATGAACAATGAAACAAATTCTGTACAGAACAAGAGGAACTATGACCACTATGAAAGGCCAGAAGATCTGGATAACTAATTACCAAGTGTTGTGAGAACGTGTACTATGAAACCCAATGATGTGACATTATTTCTTGAGCTTCTGTGCAGAGAGTTTGTTATGGACTGAATGTGTGCCCCCATGTATATGCTGAAGCCCTAACTCCCCTTGTGGTCGAATCTGCAAAGGGGCTTGTTAAGTGAGGTTATAAAGGTAGGCCCTGATCAGATGGAATCAGTATCCTTATAAAAAGAGACACCAGAATGCTGGTATGCTCTCTCTCTCTTGCTCATTCTCTCTTTGGATGTGTGTGTGTGTGTGTGTGTGTGTGTGTGTGTGTACGCGTATACCCAGAAAAGGCCATCTACAAGCCCGAAGGAGAGCTTTTACCAGAAACTGAACCTTGTGGACACCTTGATCTTGGGATTTGTAGCCTCCAGCCCTGTGAAAAAATAAATTTCTCTTACTGAAACCATGCAATCTGTGGTATTTTTAATGCCAGCCTGAACAAACTAATACAGGATTTATTGGGGGGATTTACTAAATAACAAGGAAAAGAAAGCCAAATCCTTGAGAGGGAAAAGGCACACGATTTGTGCTGATAACTTGACATGACAGCTTGACAAGGAAATTTGGAAATCCCGAGTGAGATTTTGTGTGTGTGTTTCTCCAACAAACACTGCATCCAGACTTCACATAGCCCACAGCAGTTTTGCTATCTGTAAAATGCAGTAGTTGGATTAATATCCCTAAGCCATTTTCCATTATCAAATTGCAAATAGTCTGAGTAGAGTCTTGACTCCAAAAGAAAAAAATTGTGCCATAATCTCAGATTTATGTCACATGTTTGGGGTACTTCTAGAGATAAATAAATGATTGTGTCAAAAATAGAACTTTAGCTAGTATTGAAATTATCGTGAAAAGCCCTTGACTGAAATCTCTTCAATTATAAAAATCAGATTTTAGAAGTTAGTGGTGACTAGGCAAAAGTTATTATAGCAACACACTCTAGGGTGAAAAATACTTTGAAAATGATTTTTTAAAAAAATGGTGAAACAGGATGAGGCATGAAAATGTTGAAAGAAATTATTTTCTATAGTTGAGGGTTTTCTAGTTGAGACAATACATGTTAACTTTAGAAAGTGTGGGAAACACAAAGTAAGAAAATAAAATCACCAGTAAACATTCCATCAACCCTAAAAGAATAATTGTTAAAATCATAGTATAGATCATGTTATAAAATAATTGGTTTTTTTTTAAAGGATCTTTTTTTAAAGATTTTATTTATTTATTTGACAGACAGAGATCACATGTAGGCAGAGAGGCAGGCAGAGAGAGAGAGAGAGGAGGAAGCAGGCTCCCTGCTGAGCAGAGACCCCGATGCGGGGCTGGATACCAGGACCAAGGGATCATGACCTGAGCAGAAGGCAGAGGCTTTAAACCACTGAGCTACCCATGCGCACCAAAATAATAGGTTTTTAGAACAATGTTTTTGATATCTTCGATGGGGAAAAGTTGAGTTACAAGACAATGGAAGCCTAATGTTCTTTACAAATACACACACATACACACACATCAGGGGTGCCTGTGCCTGTGTTCAGTCGGTTAAGCATCTGACTCCTAGTTTTAGCTCAGGTTGTGAACTGATGGGTCCCGATCTCATGGGTCCCAAGATCACCCAGCGTCAGGATCCATGCTCAGCTGAGAGTCTGTTTGTGACCCTCTCCCTCTGCCCCTTACCCCGCTCAAATAAATCTTTAAAAATACACATGCAATAAACTGAAGGAATAACTATTGCATGTTATTTTATTAGGTCATCTTTCTCTTTTTTAAATCTTTTATTTAAATTAAATTTAATTAACACATACTTTGTTAATAGTTCAGAGGTAGAATTCAGTGATTCGGCAGTTGCATACAACACCCAGTGCTCATTACTTCAAGTGCACTCCTTAATGACTATCACCCAATTATCCCATCCTCCCACTTACCCCCGCTTCCAGCAACTCTCAGTTTGTTTCCAAGAGTTAAGAGTCTCTTATGGTTTGCCTCCCTGTTTTTGTGTTATTTTTTTTTTTTCCCTTCCCTTACGTCCATCTGCTTTGCTTCTTAAAGTCCACATATGAGTGAAATCCTATGGTATTTCTCTTTCTCTTTCTCTGACTGGCTTATTTTGCTTAGCATAAAACCCTTTAGTTCTATCCACGTCATTGCAAATGGCAAGATTTCATATATTTTGATGGCTGAGTAGCATTCCACCATATATATATATATATATATATATATAGATATATATCTATATATATATCTATCTATCTATCTCACATCTTCTTTATCCATTCATCTGTAGATGGATATCTGGGTTCTTTCCATATTTTAGTTATTGTAGACATTCCTGCTATAAACATTGGGGTACATGTGCCCTTTGAATCACTGTGTTTGTATCATTTGGGTAAATACCCAGTAGTGCAATTGCTGGGTCATAGGGTAGCTCTATTTTTAACTTTTTGAGGAACCTCCACACCATTTTCCAGAGTGACTGCACCAGTTTGCATTCCCACCAACAGTATTATTAGGTCATTTTAAAAATAAAGTTGTTTTTTAAAAAAAATTATTTATTTGACAGAGAGTGAGAGAGCACAAGCAGGCAGAGCAACAGAGGGAGAAGGAGAAGCAGGCTCTGCACTGAGCAGGGAGCCCAATGTGGGGCTCGATCCCAAGACCTTGGGATCATGACCCAAGCCAAAGCCAGTTGCTTAACCAACTGAGCCACCCAGGTGCCCCTTATTAGGTCATTTTAATGAAAGCCTAAAACCGTCCAACTCTTACTTCTTAAAATTACCAAGTAATCTGCCCCACAAACATTCTTACCCCATACTGATCTTTATCTCACCCCAAACCCCAGTGCACCTAGGACCTTCTAAAGCCCAGGGATGGGATAAGGCTCAAAGATGGCATAGGCTAGTGATCTTTATTTTGGAAATTATTTCCCAAACAAAAAAAATCTATGTCCCACAGTTGGTTGTCCTTTGAGCATCCATCCTTAGGGATGCTGGGTAAATAGCTGATAGTTTTTCATATACACAAAGTGCTGTTACCTGACTCACCTGATTTTTTATTTCTTAGGATTCAATGCCTGCGCTTAGCTGGGACTTTGATAATAATGTGTATCTGTGCCATTATGCCATCTGTGCCCTGGCCTTCAGGGTTCCCTCAGCATCTCCATTTGTGACTCTCTGCAGTTCATTACTCTCTTGCCTCCAGCTGGGATGGAAACTCTTTCTCTTTCTACCATCTGACATTTGGGGTGGGGTTAGGAGGGTAAAAAACCTAGTGAAAGTGTTTGAGGGTTAACCACAGCCACGTCCTTGCCAGAAGCATGTATGCTTGAAGTGGGTGCATGGCGTGCAGGGCTGGTCTGGTTCTGCATGGATTTTCAGTGCAGTCTCACACACCTCCAGAACTTTATACTGCTTCCATCCATGCTGCCAGGACCATTCCCTACTAACACTTACTTTTTCCAAGAGACCCAGCTGTCTCTACAATGCAGTTTCCATACCCATCTGACATTCCAGAGATAGAACTGTATAGGTCTGAACTCCAGTTTTGGACAGAGGTTAGTTTCCTTCCCATTCTCTTACAGGCCATCAGCAAACCAAGAACTATCACCACATATCTGTTTGGTGTATCCATTAGGATGCATTTGTCTGTGAATTACAAGATTCCCATTTTAAAAATCGACTTACTAAGGAATTTGTGTGATATAGTTTTAAGTCCAGAAGCAGGACATTCTCTAGGCATAGAACAAAAGAGCTGCTTAATGCCATTATGAAGGATCTGGTTTTCTCTCTCATGAGACCATCCCCAGGGCTCACTTCATTCTATTATTTATATCCATGTGGTTACAAAATGGTTCCAGAGATGACCAAAGCTGCTGCACGTTCTTATTCAGATTCAGAGAGAAGGAGAAATCTCAGTGATATTTGGTCCCCCAAGCCATATATTATTGCCAGTTCAGTCACATGCCAGCCTGACTCTCAGTGCATGGACCACTGCAGTTTTAAATATGGAGGTCAGGGTAGACTGTAGCAAGATGGGAAGAGCATCCCAGGCAAGGGAACAGCAAGTGCAAAGGCTTTAATGTGGGACTCTGCCTGGTGCATTCAAGGACCAGCAAGGAGGCAGTGTGGTTATGCAGGATGAACAAGGAAACAAGATCAGAGGGTAACAGCGGAGGGGGAGAGAGAGAGTGAATGCACATCAGATAAAGAGTTTGACTTTTATTCTGACTGAAATTAGAAGCCATTGTTGGCTTCTAAACAGATGAGAGACATAATCAGATTTGATTTAAAAGGATGACTCTGGCTGCAGTGTTGAGGAAAGCCTATAGGAAGCAACAGTGGAAGCTGCTTTAGTTCTAAGATAACTGTAGCAAAGCAGGCAAGATACGATGATGGCTCAAATCAGGGTGGCAGTAGCGGAGATGGAGAAAAGTATGATTTTAAATATATTTTGAAGAGTCAACAGGGTTTGGTGGTGGATTGAACATGGGCTGGGAAAAAAAATAGAGGAGCCTAGAATGACTCTAGATTTTGGTTCAAGCAACTGGAAGCAAGAGTGACTTGGATGGGGAAGAATGTCGAAGAGCAGGTTCAGGAGGCATGATCAAGGGTTTACTTTTGGAGATGAGTCTGAAGTTGAAGGGAGAAGTCTGAGCTAACCATATGCATTTGGCAGTCCTCGGTAGGTGGATGGTATTTAAAGCCTTGAAACTGGTTGAGATCATCAAGGGAGTGGGTGTACACAGAGAGAACTATGAACTGAACCCTGAGGCACTCCAGCATTAAGTTAAGGGAGAAGAGAAAGGACAGCAAGGGAAGGTGACCAGTGAAATAAGTTAAAATGTAAGACAATTTGGAAGACAGCGTCACAGAAGGAGGGGGGTGATCACCTGTGTCAAAAACTACTGAGAGTTCAAATAAGATGAGACCTAAAAACTGTTATATTCAGCAATGATGTGGACATAGATGACCCTGAGATCAGTTTCAGTGGAATAAAGTAGGAGGGGTGGCTCTAGAGTTGGCCTAAGAGAAGATAACAGAAGAAAAGTTGGGAGACCGTGAGAATATTCAACCCTTTACTATGGAAAGGAGCAAAGAAATGGGGGGGGTAATAATTATGGCATCGAAGTAGGGGAAATGGCATCAAATAGTTTTTTGGTTTGTATTAAGGTGGAAAAAATAACATCGTATTTGTATGCCAATAGAATTGATACGGTAAAGAGTGAGAAATTGATGATGTAGCTGAAACTGAAAAACACTGCCCTTGATGTCTGAGGAGGAGGCAGGAGTGAGATCAGATCTAGTGCACGGGTGAAGGGATTAGATTCACATAGGAACCTACATAATCTACCTATAGAAAAGGAGGGAGGCATGTATGTCTGTTCGGATACTGGTAGGTAGAGAGATGTGATGCTGAGATTCTGTGGAAGGTTTATTTTTTTTCCTGATACATCAGCACTCTTAATAAATATTCTCAAAATCATCAGCTGAGCACAAGGATGGAGGAGAGGGTAATGGGCATTGAGAAAAGAGAAGGCATAAAACAGTTGTCAAGGGGACCAGCAGAGTAAATGTACTAAAGGCACATAGTCATAGACATAGACAGCCCGGCAACATAAAGGACCCATTTGAAAGTCATGGCTTTGATTTTAAATTAAGTCCAATCAGCAGGTTTTTATTCCCCACCCCATTCCCAGCTACATTCTGGTATACAGGTGTGCAGCCCAAAATTAGAAACTTGTATCTAATCAGGATGGTAGATTTAAGAGAGCTCAACAAAGCCAGAGAGGAGCAAGAGAATGGAAAGCATATGCAAGAGAGGGATTATAAAAATCGACTGTGGACTTCATGGGTAAAGAGAAAAGCAAGGGCATCAAGAGGGTAGAGCCAGAGAAGAGGTAGCAAGATTTTGGATTTGGTATCCTGGTAAGGGGGAAGGATTGTTGGGGTCAGAGTACTAGAACGAATGCGCTAAAAGGACAGGAGGTGTGGTCAGAGAGTGGATTCATGAAATAGAAATTACAGAAGGGGTGGTCATTGATAACGACAAGATCTAGGGATTTATCATGGAAATGACTGGCTGAAATAGGGTGGAAAATAGGATTACTGGAGGAGAGGAGAGTCAAAGAACTGGGAGGACGGGGTACTGGAAAGATCATCTTTTGCCCAACAAATATTTCAAATCACCAAAGATTAAGATAGGATTAGTATTGGAGAGGACTGCAGGGAGCAGGAGCTATATAGCCTAAAACGGAGAGGGCAGAATTAAGGTGGGGGAGAGCAGTGGATGACAGCAACAGTGAAGCCGTGAGTGATACAACCTGATGATTTAAAATTCAAAAGTCAAAGGCAGTTTTAAGGAATAGGGAGGGAGCATGGTCTGATACTAGGTGCCAACACTGAAAAATACAAGAATTTTCACATAATCCATATAGATTTCACATAATCTGGCTTTCACATAAAATTCTTGCTTCTCTTTAAGTCAGGAGATCTGGAAAAGCGGGCCATGTTGACTGCTTCACTCAGCGACCGTGATTCCTGGCTCCTCTGCGTGGGAGAGGTTAAGTTTGGGTCCCCTGTTCTACCAGTTCACCAACTCAAGAGCTGTCAAATACTTGGACCTGGACCCTGCCTCTCTTGCTCAGTTTACTCAGGTAGTCCCTTTGAGAGGTATAGGGCTTCTTCTTCTTTTTTTTTTTTTTTTTAAGATTTTATTTATTTGACAGAGAGAGGTAGGCAGAGAGGCAGGCAGAGAGAGAGGAAGGGAAGCAGGCTCCCTGCTGAGCAGAGAGCCCGATGCGGGACTCAATCCTAGGACCCTGAGATCATGACCTGAGCCGAAGGCAGCGCCTTAACCCACTGAGCCACCCAGGTGCCCTAGAGGTATAGGGCTTCTTAAGTGTGTTCAGATCGACAATAAAAGTTTAGCTATTTAAACAAAGGGATATAGAAACTTTTGCCCAAAAAGTATTGTATTTATCAATTTTCAAGTGTATTTTGTGGTATACTCTGGCTGAGAACGACCTGGGAATTCAGAGAGGGGTAGGGGTACGAAATGATAAAGTAGCATCAACGTTGGTCTCTAGGGGGCACCATTGCCAAAGAGTACAAATCTGAAAGCTTTCAAATAGGGTTGCTATTTTTCAGTTGATAACAATTGTCCACTCTACAGTCATTAAGGTTGGGATTTTTTTTCTCACCACTTTCAAAGCATCTCCTCTTTTCATCAGTAACATTTGTATCATGCCTGTGATGGGCTATTACAGCACACACGATAGAATATTTTAAAAACAATAGTCAATTTTACTTAAACTCCTTGTTGGAAGCAAATGACTCCATCAAACACTTTGAAGAAGGAAAAAGTAGTGGAACAATGTTCTATCAAGAAAGGCCAGGAAGGGGGTGCCTGGGTGACTCAGTCGTTAACCCTCTGCTTTCAGCTCAGGTCATGATCCCGGGGTCCTGGGGCTGCCTACTCAGCAGGGTGCCTGCTTCTCCCTCCCCTACTCCCCCTGCTTGTGTTCTCTCTCTCTCTCTGTCAAATAAATAAATAAAATCTTAAAAAAGAAAGAAAGAAAGAAAGGCCAGGGAGAAAAGGATGTAGTAAAACCAAACAGCAATGGGCAGCCTCATGAAGAAAATGAACACAATTTTCTTCTGTTTTGTTCTTTTTTTCCTGTTGTTGTTTTGTTGTTGTTTTGTCTTTCCCAACAATCACTTCATATATGCACATTTATCTGTTCAACTTCAGTAAAAGTTGGGAGGAAGAATGTGCCAAACCTTTTGAATGGTTGTCTTCAGCTAAGTGTTTTCTTCTTTCGGTTCTTCTGGGTTTTCCAACTGTTCCTCAATAAACATGTGTTGCTTCCTGGCAGGGTAAATCAAAATGCATTTTTCAAAGAAGTCGTGTCAGGTCTCTGTCCATCCCGCCAGGAGCCGGCCCATGCCAGGGCCGGCAGAGGGGGTGATAGACCCCCCCCCCCCCGCCCCGTGAGTTCTGCCCTCCGGGTCTTTCCCCAGCTCTCGCTCTCGGCTTTCTCTCTCCTGTCGCGCCCCAAACCCAGAGCAACGAAAGGGCTGGCCAAAACTTACGGCCTGTGACAAGGGCCTCGCCGAGACAGGGAGACCCCGCGGCCGCCCTCGGGGCATCGCTGCCGGGCAGCGCTGTGCGTCATGTGGGGCCCGCCCCTTGCGGGGCTCGGCAAGTTCTACCGCCTTAGCCGCCGCCGTGGAAGCAGGATTTCCGCGGTTGTGTAATCGCACCTCCCGGGCGCGGAGAGGCCTGGGCTCCGCATCCGTCCTCCGACCGGCCCCTGGTGTCCGGCGGCCGAGCCATGGCCTGGACGGCGGCGGCTGCGGCGAGGAGCTGCGGGGCTCGCGGCGCGCTCACGGCGCACACGCTCCTGTTCGACCTGCCGCCAACGCTGCTGGGCGAGCTCTGCGCGGTGCTGGACAGCTGCGACGGCGCGCTGGGCTGGCGCGGCCTCGGTGAGGGCGGCCCTCAGAGGCAGCGGCGGACGGCAGGCGGGGGCGGGTGGGGGGGGGGGGGGCGCTGGGTCGCGGCGCGCATGCTCAGTCCGACCTGCCGCGCTTGCGGCAGGCCAACCCCACCGGTCCCGCACCGCGTAGACCGCGGGTCTGCGGGGGCTTCCCACGGGCAAAGTGCGCGTTCCTCGCCCAGGGAACTACACAATACTTCCTGAGACCCGAAGACGAGCTCCCCCTTCTCTTTCAAAGACGCTTTGGGTCCCTTGGCGGGATTAAGCGGCAGCTACCCTCCTGAAACCATCCAATGTTTATCAACTGTTCCCGCCTTGCTTGGTTCAGAGTATTTTAAGTTAAATCGCCCATGTGATGTCTTCTTATGGCAAAATTACCCTAGAATATAATTTTCATACTAAAACATATTTATCCCTTTAAATTTATTCTTTGGTGTTTTCAGGGCACTTGCAAGTGCCCATCTTAATTAAATTCCAGGTGAAAGGGTAACGTAAAATACTATTTGTCATCAATGTGGCTCCCAGTTTTCTTAATATTTCTTGCTTATTTATCTAGTCTGTGGCATGAAGGTTTATGCTAGATGATGTCTTTTTATATCCATCTGGAAAGTTGGCTTTAAAACCATTCTATGCAGTCATTGGGAAGTTGAGCAACTGCCTTTTGGAAGTCTTGAGTGTGATCACTGGAAATAATTCAGGAAAAAAAATCTTTGTTAAGTACAGGCACTTTTGTTAGATTTGATCTTCCATGGTGACACATTTAATGTTAGTTGAAAATAAGCACAATCATGTCAAAACAACTTAGCTTTTATTCTCTGAAACACCTTCTTTTTTTAAAAAAAGCAAGACTAGCAAAAGACCTATGAGAAAAAAAGTTTTGTTGTTTATGAACAATATGGTCACACTTTGTGGAACGTGGCTGTGGGCTTCTAGGTATATTTAAGAAGCAAAACAGGATCATAGGGAAAGGAAAAAAAATAAGACGGAATCAGGGAAGAAGACAAACCATAAGAGACTCTTAATCATAGGAAATAAACAGGGTTGCTGTGGGGGTGAGGGAGGTGGGGGGATGGGGCAACTGGGTGATAACACATTAAGGAGGGAACGTGATGTGATGAGCACTGGGTATTATATAAAACTGATTAATCACTGACCTCTACCTCAGATGCCAACAATACATTCTATGTTAATTAATTGCATTTAAATTAAAAAGTGAAAAAAAACTAAAACCATTATATATTATATATTATATACATTATATATTATATATTATAATTATTATAAGCTCTATAATTTTAAAGTATGACCCTTATGTAAAAATATCAGAAAAGATAATACTTGACTCTTTGACTTCTGGAAAACGTAGAGTATGCATTTGGGGGATAAGATCCTTCCCACACCAGATCTTTTGGAAATGGATGACATGGACAGTTTTAGGACCCACTGGTTTCCTAGAATGACTACATTCACGAGAGAAGAATGTTTTTGTTGCAGTCCACAGGTAGTCAGTGGGGCCAGGTAGCTGTCATAAATGAGTAAAGCAGGATGAAGACTGAACATGGAAGAGTGTATGTCCCATCTAGGAGGGGTGATTAGTTCTCAGTCCCACGTCACTGATGCTTTTCAGGAAGTCCAGCCCAGTATTGCTGCATTCCCGCTATCTCTCTCTCTCTCTCTCTCTCTGCATTCAAATCCAGACATTCACATTTTACATGGGTTGTCTCATAAAGCGCTTAACAGTTGCCCTTTGAGGCAGGTGCTATTATCATCACCAATGTGTTAACAGATGAGGAAACCGTGGTACACATTCATTAAATGACACTTGCCCAAACTGACACAGCTAAGGAGTAGCAGAGCCAGGATTTGAACCATGGCAGTTTGGATCCACTGCCTGTGCCCTTACCCACAGCCACACTACTCTTCCAGACCATGACTTCCTCAAGTTCTCAAGTACTGACTGCTCTGCTCTTTCTGCTCTAAAGTACACTCTCTAAAATAGCCTTTCTAAAGTACACTCATTTCAGCCGTGAAAGAACAATTCAGTGAGCCATTTCAAACATGCAGCCCCATTTTTCTAGTTGTGGAAATGAGTGAAGACCACCCAAATGAGAACAAGCAAAGGCTATTTATTCAAAGCAAGAGAGTTAGCCACCATAACTTGCATTTGACAGAGACCCAAAGGCAAGCAAGGAGTGGAAAAGCTTTATGGTAGAAAAAAGAGAAGGCTTCAGGTCTTCCACTATTGGAGGAGTTGGCATGGAAAAGCTATGGACAGGTTAACTAGCAGAATTGTTTAGGGTGTATATTTGGCTCTTTCAAGATGGTCCTGAATTGGAAGCAGGGGTGAAAATCAGGGAAGCTGACAGTTGTTAATTGAGTCGTAACTATTTGGGACTGATTGCTACAGAGATTATCATTTGGCTTCTTGGACTAGCTGCTACAGATGCTAACATGACTTCTCAGACTAGTTACTGTGTATAGTAGATTGGCATTCTGGACTGGTTAACGCATGTTGTGAGTCACCATTCTATTTTTGTATAGAGTCTGGCCATTGTTCCTTTGTATATTCTTTCATAGGGGAAAAATCTAAAATGCCTATTCCTTGATTCTCTAGCTATAATTTACTGTGCACATAGCTAGACTACGTAGCTCCGAAAGGAGACCTAGTACAGAGCAGCTGCTTCATGAATTATTGGCTCAACCAGAAGGGAAGCCTGACTCAGCTCAGGGTGGTTGAGGGCACTGCCCATGTTAAATAGACGCTGAGTTTCCCTATTGGCATGGGGAAAGGAGAAAGACGGGAAGAGGTAGAGGGAGGGAAAACTTGACCTTAGAGGGTGAGGGTGAGAGTGCTGGAGGACTGAATCAGGGACACAGTCCCTTTTATGCTCAGGACAGCAGAGAGCCTGAAGATACAGAGTATCCAAAATTCCGTGTAGAAAACAATGCAATGTAATAGTTAAGACTGTCTCAGGCTGATCTGGTCATGATGCTTGATGATGGTGAATATCAGATGACATTTACAAAGGTAGCTCTGACAAAGATATATGACAAAGATATATGACATTTACAAAGGCAGCTCTGCCATAGATCATATGGCAGCCTAGTTGTTCACAAACGGAATCATCTGTGCAATCTTTTAAAGATACAAATGCCAGAGTGCCTGGGTGGCTCAGTGGGGTAAGCATATGCCTGCAGCTCAGGTCATGATCTCAGAGTACTGGGATCGAGCCCTGTGTCGTGCTCACTGCTCAGCATGGAGCCTGCCTCTCCCACTCCCTCTGCTTCTCATTCCCACCACCCCCCACTCCAGATCGTGCACGCTCTCTTGCTCCCTCTCTATCTCTCTCTCTCAAATAAATAAATAAATAAGATAGAAATGCCTAGGCCCCACCCCCAGAGCTGTTGATTCAACCTTTGCTTTAAGGATCCAGCATCTTTCTGTTTTTTGCAGAGGTGAGTCTGATGCACAGCCTGGCTTGGGAGCCATTGCTCTGGCCAAATTCTCTACTCTAGTAGCATCTTAATATACCAGTTATTTTACCACACTCTTTCACTTCTCCACTTAATTGTTTTTTATCCTTAAACATATTCTTCATATTGCTCCTCAAGTCCCTTTTGTCACATATGGTTATTAAGAAGAGGAAATCACAAGGTAATACATTCTCTGGTCGATGATGATTTTATGGCTTTGTAATGAAAGGAGGAGCCCAAGCTGAAAATGTTACTGATCTTATACTCCCTTCCAGACGTGGTAATAGAGCCTCTGGTGACAAGTCATTTCATTACATTATCATAGGGTAGTACTTGAATTAAATTGTTTGGAGAAGTGCACACCATGACCCGTTTCAACACTTGTGATACCCTGGGAAAGAAACCCTTTTACAGGTCATCTGGAATGGGTTGTATTCAGTTTTTTTCCCTCTGAAAAAAAGAAATGAAATTATCATAGAAATTATTATTAATCACTTTACAGCAAACTAAGTATAAAATCACATTAAATGTGTCTTTGAATATTCAATAAAGAATCAAAATAATAGTCATAATAATAATAAAAGCTGCCATCTATCCAGGGCTTGCTCTTTGCCAGACAATCTCTGCTAAGCACTTCATGTGGATTATGTCATTTGTTACGAAAATTTTGTGAGGTAGGTATTTTTCCTATTTCCACTTCATAGGTAAGGAAACTGACTCTCAGAGAATTTAAGTAACTTAAGTCACGGTCTAGTAAAGTGCAGACTAGGATTCTAATCAGATGGTCAGACTCCAGAGCCTATGTTCTTAAAAAAAAAAAAAAAAAAAAGCTTAGATAGATTTTATTATTTAGAACAGTTTTAAATTTACAGAAAAAAATTAGGAGATTGTACAAAAAATTCTCCTCTTTTATATCTTCCACATATACTCTGCATCCAGTTCCCCTGTTATTAACATCTTACATTAGTGTGGCACAATTGTTACAATATCAGTATATTATTATTATCAAAGTCAATATTTTATTCAGATTTCCTTCATTTTTTTCCTAATCCCCCTTCTCTCTCCCAGGATCCCATCCGAGATTACATTTAGTTATCATGTATCCTCAGGCCCCTCTTCACTGTGATCGTGTCTCAGGCTTTTCTAGTTTTTGATGACCTTGACGGTTTTGAAGAGTATTGGTCAGGACTGGCCTACCATTTTG